TAATAATAATTTGAACGGTTTGATGTGATATGAGCTAACCGATCTTTAGATTTAGTCACCATTGGTAGCGAGATTTATTGTAATGCTTTTTTCCTCAGTTGGTCAGAACAAACGTGGCAAACTTGTTACTTACTTGTTCAGATGGCAGTATACGGTGACAATTCTTATTTGGGTCATATATTCCAAGACATAGGCTAGAATCTGTGATTGCGAAGTACAGTAAATATCCACACCGGTGCGGTGACTGACTGCCACACATACTCTTCAGAACATTAGATTCACCCACTCACAACCCACACAAGCTAGATAATTCTGCACACAGCTGCAATTCCAGGTTTTCAAACAAGAGTTGGCGACAAAGAGGCAAAATTTACGGACTGCAGCTTTAAGTAATCTTCGCAATGGCGAGTACTGTTAATACTTCAGTCAGCAGTGGAATGTGCACAACACATGATTTTTTTTACTTCCTTTTTTCATTTTCATTAGGTATAGAGAGACAGCAACATATTTTGCTCGTGGAAATATCTGAGCATGAATACTTTACATTTGTATTATGTGATATCACTGTACAGGCGCATCTCAAAAAATTAGAATATCGTGAAAAAGTTCATTTTTTTGTAACTTATTTCAAAAAGTGAAACTTTCATATATTCTAGATTCATTACATGTAAAGTAAAACATTTCAAAAGTTTTTTGTTATAATTTTGATGATTAGAGCTTACAGCTCATGAAAGTCAAAAATCCAGTATCTCAAAATATTAGAATATTTCCTAAGATCAATCAAAAAAAGGATTTGCAAAACAGAAAAGTTCAAGTTCTTTAAAGTATGTTCATTTATGCACTCAATACTTGGTCGGGGCTCCTTTAGCACAAATGACAACATGTGAGGTGTGGCATGGAAGCGATCAGCCCGTGGCACTGCTGAGGCACTATTGAGCCTTCAGCTCATCCGTATTGTTGGATCAACTGTTTCTCATCTTTCTCTTGAAAATATCCCATAGATTCCATATGGGGTTCAGGTCAGGCATGTTGGCTGGCCAATCAAGCACAGTAATATCATGGTCAGCAAACCACTTGGAAGTGGTTTTGGCACTGTGGGCAGGTGCTAAGTCCTGCTGGAAAAGGAAATCATCATCTCCATAAAGCTTGTCAGCAGATGAAAGTATAAAGTGCTCCAAAATCTCCTGGTAGACATCTGCATCGACTTTGGACTTGATAAAACACAATAGACCAACACCAGCAGACGTAGTTTGGGCCAAAAAAAATTTCAGAACATAGTCAAAGGATAATTTAAGAAGAATATTAATTGATGAAAAATGCATCCAGAATTGCCTGAGACGGACTGTTACAGTGTCTTTTGTAACTGGTAGTGAGCTGTTACTCTGTGTTAAATCCTGTAGTAGGACAGTCATTAACAAAAAGCCACGGTTTCAGAAGTGGTTTGGTAGCCCTTTTTCTAAAGACGTCTGAGTGTGGTGACTCTTGATGCACTGACTCTAGCTTCAGTCCACTCCTTGTGAAGCTCTCCCAAGTGTTTGAATCGGCTTTGCTTGACAGTATTCTCAAGCTTGCGGTAATCCCTGTTGCTTGTGTAGAATATATTAAAGTTTCACTTTTTGAAATAAGGTACAATTTTTTTTTTTTCCCCATGATATTCTAATTTTTTGAGATGCACCTGTATGATTTCACTTTATTTTATACCTTTTTCTGGCAGAGTGAACTTCCAGAAGCAGAGCAAGACAACGGCGGATCGACTGAGTCAGTCAAAGAACAAGAGATGAAGTGGTCAGATCTCGCCCTGCAGAGTTTGCATGAAAACACCCCCAACATTGGCACTTAGATGTGAAGATGCTCTGTCCATGTATCTGTCCGTTATGTGGGTCACTGATACAAGATTTATGATGCAAAAAACAAATTTCTTGATTATGATTATGTGCCACTGTGATTGGCATTAAAAGGGTTTCATTGTTTTGATATTAAAGAATAAATAAAATGTTTAAAATGTAAAGTGCTGTATTCATTCAAATTAAGTTGTGCTAGTTGTTTAAATTCTTGATGGCACACAGCATTCTTACAATTCACACAATGTTCAAGATTTTAAACTGGTATCTAAAATGCACAATACTTCTTGTATAGATCAAACCTATGCAAACATTCAAAAAAATTAATTTGATCAAAGATGACAGTAAAGACATTTTACCGTTACATAAGATTTATATTTCAAATAAGTTGTTCTTTGAACTTCCTATTCATCAAAGAATTCTGAAAAAAATTTATCACGGGGTCCACAAAAATATTAAGC